ATTTTATTTTAATTTTAAAATAAAATCAACAAGCTGGAAAGAAGGCTAGCTTGGTTGTTCATCTAAATGAATATCTAATTCATGGACTGTTGGGGTAAGTAAAACTCAGAGACTGTAGGGAAGATGGATTGGGGAGTGGTTGAAGAAATAGGGAGAAAGAAAGCAGTGAACCACCTAGAACGCAAGGAGAAACTGTTGCAGCCACTTTACACATTTAAAAGACCAAAATACACTCCTGACTTGTTAAACAAATTGCTTTCGGACTATAAAAGTAGTATGTATTTGCTGTAGGAAGTAACAGTAAATTTCTAAAACTTACTATGGAAAATGCAAGTAAAGGGTGAGGGTAGAGAGAATGAGAGAAAAGTAAAAACCACCCCAAATGTTATCATCCACAGGTAATCATTCTAATTACTTATTGGCACATCTTTTTAAAACAAAAGTAAGGTGATACTATATAGACATTTCTATGTCCTACTTTATTTCCCCTTAGATTTCTCCAGGTCACTATTGATTGTCCTTAAAAAATAATTTTAGGGCAACCCCCTTGGGTCTTCTCTCATTGTGGGAGTTTTTCTGTCCTCTCAATAAATCCTGCTTTCTCAAAACAGAAAAAAAACAAAAAGTAATAATAATTTTAAATAGCTGCTTAATTTCCTAATATATTAATGTATATGTCATGTATGGTTTATGATCTATAAGTTGTGCTTTTTCCAGTCTCCAATAGCTGGATATTTTGGTTGTTCCCATTTTCCATAATTGTAAGTAATATTTTGGTAATCATCCTTAATCATAAATCTGTGAGATTTCTTACAGAGCCAGTGGGGATGAATGTTTTTAAAGTTGACAAGACACAATCCAGGGTGTTCCCCAGAAAGATTCTATCAGTTTGCAAACACTTTCGCCAGGCCAGTACTCTCTGCCACCATCGGACATCATCATCAAATACAATTTTTTTTTCCTATGACCATGTTAATACATTATACACTCAAAAAAGATCAACAAGGGTGGGGGGAAATCCTTAAAACAGAATGCAAACAAAAGCAAATGAACCTAACTATATTTCCGTTAATAACAACACTACACTGAAGGGCAGAATGAGGGGATGAGGGAGAAAACTTAATCCAAGTAACTTGAACACAGTATTTTAATATATATACACACACACAGAGGGTGCCAAAAGGGAAAAAACTACTAAAACTGTAATATTCAGTATATACCAATAACAAAAGATGGAAATAAGTCACGTTTGACTTCTGCAATTAGAAGAGGTGCTCAAAGTGGTTGTCATCAGCATCTAGACACTTCTGATTATGGCAAACTAAAAGTAATACATAGATAATGCATAGATTTTTTTTGTGCCCCCCCCCCTGTATATTTATCCTCTGGCTATAGAAATAAAGAACCATAAATACTGAAAACTATTTGGCAGGACTGTTTTTCTGCAGTGCTATGGATTAGTAATTCTGAAATTACTTTCAGTACATATTCCAGGATAGAGCAAACAAATAGATGGCGAATAACAGAAGCCAGTGTCTTCTTTATTGGTGAAGGGAGTCACACAGATGGAAAAAGCAAGGCTAGGATGGACCCTGTGGTGTCCGTCTAGAGTTGGAGATGCCAGGATGAACTTATGTTTTATTGTACTGTGGCTGCTTATGGAAATGTGCTTTCTTGGGGGGGGAATAGACTGAAGTATTCAGGAGTAAAGAAGCATAATGTCTGCAGTTTACTCTCAAATGGTTGAGGGAAAAAATAAGTACATATGCATATAGAGACAGACAAAGACAAAGAGGCACAGAAAGGAAAAAATGATAAAGCAAATGAAGTAATTGTTAACGACTGGGGATCTGGTGAAGATTATGTAGGGATTCTTTATGGTGCTTTTGCCATTTTTCCATCAGCTTGAAGTTACTTCAAAATAAATGGTTTTGCCAACTTGATAGGTAAGAAAAAATATTTGAATGGTTTTCATTTTACTTTATTAGTAAAGTTGAACACGTTTATGTCAAAGGAGCACTTGAATGATCTGTTTATGCTCTCTGTTCATTTTTTTTTTTGAGTTGGAGTCTCACTTAGTCACCCAGACTGGAGTGCAGTGGCCAATCCCAGCCACTGCAGCCTCGACCTGCTGGGCTCCGGCGATCCTCCTGCCTCCGCCTTCCAAGTAGCCAGAACTACAGGTGCGCGCTACCACGCCCGGCTCATTTTTGATTTATTGTGGAGATGAGGTCTCGCCAAGTTGCCCAGGTGGGTCTCGAACCCGTGGGCTCAGGCAATCCACTCACCTCGGCCTCCCAAAGTGCAGATTACAGGCTGAGCCACCGATCCCGGCCTCTGCTCATTTTTAAAATCTACCCTCTGCCACATATGTTGCATTTCTTTCCTGCTTTCTAAAACATTTCAAGGCTGGGCTCGGTGGCTCAGCCTGTAATCCCAGCACTTTGGGAGGCCGAGGTGAGTGGATTGCCTGAGTCTGCGGGTTCGAGACCCGCCCGTGCAACTTGGCGAGACCTCATCTCTACAATAAATCAAAAATTAGCCGGGCATGGTAGCGCGTGCCTGTAGTTCTGGCTACTCGGAAGGCTGAGGCAGAAGGATCGCTGGAGCCCAGCAGGTCGAGGCTGCGGTGGCCGGGAGCGGCCACTGCACTCCAGTCTGGGCAACAGAGTGAGACTCCAACTCAAAACAAAACAAAACAAAAGCAAAAACAACCCCCCCCCCAAAAAAAACATTTCAATTCTGTTACAAATTTTCTTTTCTAACCTTGGACCACTGGAATATACACTCATCTCTAAAAATCAGAACTTGTAGGGCTCTTAGAAATGGAGGTGTCCTGTGGTTCATTCTGCAACTGCAAATTCGTTAACAGGTAAAAATATCTTAGTAACAGACAGGTCTTTTCTTCTACAGGAAAAAAAAAAGCTTAAAAACCCAAAGCTTCTACAGGAAAAAAAAAAGCTTAAAAAACCCAAAGCTCTAAGGTGGATTAAATACACACACACACACACACACACACACACACCAAGCTGCACTTACACACACACACACACACACACACACACCAAGCTGCACTTACACACACACACACACACACACACACACACACACAAAAACCCAAAGCTCTAAGGTGGATTAAATACACACACACACACACACACACACACACACACACACACACCAAGCTGCACTTGGTGGCTTATGCCTATAATGCAGCCCTTCGAGAGGCTGAGGTGAGGGGAATCGCTTGAGCCCAGAAGTAGTTCAGGACCAGCCTGGGCGACACAGAGAGACCTCATCTCTACAAAAGACGCAAAAATTAGCCGGGCCTGGTGGTGTGTGCCGGCAGTCTCAGCTGCAGGCGGAGGTGGAAGGACGGCCTGAGCCCAGGAGGTCAAGGGCGTGGTGAGCCGTGAAGGTGCCGCTGCACTCCAACCTGGGTGACAGGAGATTCGGATTCAAAAAATAAGTAAACGAAGTATTAAACACTTGGGGACCATGCACAGAAACAGCACCCTAAAATGTGTGAGCGGTCCCAGAAGTCCAGTACCCAGAACTGAACTTCAGCGGCTCAAATGCAAAGTGAAGAACTCTCGTTTGGTTGCTGAGTCGGAGCCTCGCTGCGCCGCCCGGCCGGGGTGCGGCGGCCTCGCCTGCCGGGCTCCGGCGGTCCTTCCAGGGAGCCGGGACCCAGGCGCGCTCACGCCCGGCTGGTTCATTGCACCGCGGAGATGAGGTCGCGCCAGGTTGCGCAGGCGGGTCCCGAGCCCGCGGGCTCCGCAAGCCCCCACAGAGTGCTTGCCAAGGGACGAAAGCCTAAGGCCGCCTTTGGCGTCTCCGACCCCGGACGGGAGAGGCCTCGTGCCCAGCATCGCAGTCCGGCGAAGGTGCCGCGTGGGCACCGGCACAGGCGCCGCGGCGGGGCAGGGCAGCTGCACGCCGGCAGCAGAGGCGGGCCGGGGCC